ACGAATATATCTATCTCTTAAAAAGTTTACTGAAATTCTCTGCTTTAGTTTTTGCACAAATTTTAATTATTTAAGCATTCTTATCAAATTAGGTAAAGTGACCTATAAATTTTCTGATTTGCGACCAAATTGTATAGAATTGAAACTTTAATATACTTATTTCATAAAATATATTTTTAATTAATTATTTCATAAGCAAAATTTAATTAATATCTGATTTTTAAAGTTTTAAACTTTGTTTCTTAGTTTCGAAATGAATGATAATTAATCTCTTAAATATTTGTCCGAGCTCCATTTTTGTCAAAAAATGTATTTTTGAATAGTCCATTGAGGGAAAATTTGTAGTTAAAAAATAAGAATATTTTTTGAATTTGGGTGTATTAATATTTTATTGAAAAATATGTGATTGAGATGAAGTAAAAAAAGAGCTCAAACAAGGGTTAAATATGAAATTTTCTATTATATTTAGAAATAAGTATGAGAAGATTACCTATTCAAGAGAATAAGTTTAGTCTATTTCAAAAATAAGAAAACAAGTTTGAAATTTTTAAAATCAGATTTTTATTAAAAAAATTTAAATTTTTATTTATGAAATAATAAATTATTTTATTATTAAATATTTAATTCCAATATAATATAATTAATCCATCACACCTTCACCACCCTTACTGCTCCGGCGACCGTTCCGATCACCGCTCTACTTCGGTGAACTTCCCGACGACCGTTCCGGCGACTACTCCGATTCCGGCGACATTCCGACAACTATTCCGGCGACCGTTCCGGCGACGATTTTTTTCGACGACTGCTCCGATTGGGCAGTTGTTCCAACTCCAGCGAATATTCCGACGACAACTCCGACATATTTTTTGTACGGTTGACATGTTTTTTCTACGGTCACAACCCTGGTCGCAAGTCACAACTCAGGTCACAAGTCACAAGTTAAAAGTCACAGCCTATGTCACAAGTCAAGAGTCACAGTCCATGTTACAAGTCACAGCTCAGGTCACAAGTCACAAGTCAAGAGTCACAGCTCAAGTCACAAAACCACATGCCATTTTTGCAACACAATCACCACCACAAAACTGCCACCACACAAACACCAACAACCACTACCACTCGCAGCCAACTTCACAACCACCATACCACCGCACTAGATCCATCACCACCACACTGCACACCAACCACCGATCGCACACCACCACTGCACATCACCACAGACCACCGTTGCACACCCATCGCACACCACCACTGCACATCACCACAGACCACCGTTGCACACCCACCACTGCACATCACCACAGACCACCTGTTGCACACCCATCGCACACCCACTAACGACGCTTCCACCACCACCAAGTCACCATCATCCAGTCATCCTCACATCCACAGAAAAAACACAGCGCCACTCAGACAACAGGTGGGGAAGAGGAAGACGATTTGGTTTTGAGATCCAGATCTGATTTGATGAAAATATATCTGCATTGTCAACAACCGTAATTTCACCATAAACACTTCAAATCAACGAACAAACAGCGAAGATGAGGGGGGAAAGGCTCGGGGCGTTGCTGTCTGAGTGATCGTCGGATGGAGAGGAGAGTCTTCTTCCACTTGCTGATGTCGAAGCTGCCAGAGGGAGAAGGGAGGGAAAGACAGAAAGCGGTGGCAATGCTGCCGCGTGAGGTGCCTGCGGTATCGTGCCGACGGTGTGGTGGCGATGGAGAAATGTTGAGAGAGAGAGGACGGTGCCTGGTGCGAGAATGGAGAGAGAGAGAGAGAAAGGTGAGAACTAATAAAAAAAATTTCTTACTGATATAAATATAAAAAATCCGTATATGTATATAAAATATCTGATTTTGGAAATATTAAACTTCCAATCTGATTTTAGAAGTTAAAAAACTTAAAATATGGTTTTATGTAATTACCACTATTTTTAAAGTACTATTACTAAATAAATAGAGGAAATTACACCCAACCCTGATTTAGATTTCCATTTTCACAAATCAAGAATCAAGTTTTATAATACAAAAATCAGGTTTTAATTAATAATTTATTTTTTTTATTTTTATTTTTATATCTACATACAATATAAATTAATTTATATACCATCCCTACCATATCTCCCTAATATCAAACCCTAAAATCAAACCCATCTCCTCTCCACTCTTTCTGCTCAAACACCGCCGCCGCCACTACAGCCGACGATTCTTCCCATCGCCGGAGAAATAATTGATGCTGCCTCCACCTTCTCTATTCTCACCGTCGCTCACTCTACCTATTATTCTCTTCTCTTCTCTGTCTCTCTACCCAAACCGCAGCACTCATCGCAGCTCGCCGTTGTTCAGTAGCATCGCCGTTGTTCAGTAGCGTCGCCGTTGTCCAGTGGTCTCAGTGTTCTGTAGCATCGCATTGCAGATCCAGTGGTCTCGCCTCCTCAAACCTCGTCCGCCTCTACAGTGTCAAACCAGGTAGACTGAGAAGCCCTAAAATCAATTGTCCCAATCCCTCTTTGACGTTGCTTCGTTCCTGCCCATCCAATTTCTCCATCATCATCTCCAATTTCTCCCTCATGCAATCAATTCTCGCCTCCAATTTCTCCCTCTTCGACGCTACCCGATCGGTGAGATTCAATTTCCCAGTGTCAATTAGATAATGCTAGTGATTTTTGTGGTTGGCTATGGCAGATCCGGCGATGAGTTTGCTGTTGTTTAGTATTTTGAGATCGTGGTTTTTTGTTGTTGTTGGAGTGGTAGTGGCTGTCGTGGTTCCTTGTTTTGGTGTTGTTGGGGTTTTGGGGTGGTAAGTTGGAGCTCAGAAACGGTTCTGTTGGTGTTGGTGGCATCGTCGTTGTTGCCGGGTGATGGTGAAGTAGTGGTGGTTTTTTGTGGTGGATGTGGTTTTTGGGGGTGGTGATAGTGGTGGTGCGAGGGTGTGGGGTTTGATTTGTTTGAGATATTGATGTTGCTATTGGGCGTCGACGGTGGTGGTGCCGCTGGTAGAGGTGGCGAAGTGGTGGTTTGTTTGGTGGTGGTCACAAATGATTAGGTTGTTTTTGACCAATAATTTGATTGATTTGTGACCAATAAATAATACGTGATCAATGTAGTAGATAAACTGTGACAAATACATGTTTAGTGACCTAAAAATTATTAATTTGTGACCTAAATATAATTTATGTTCAATTAATGTGATGTTTGTGACCATAAAATAAGTAGTGTGACTTATGAATTTTGTGATTTGTGTCCGATGAACAAATTGTGACCAATACGTGATGTGTGACCTAATAATTATTAATTTGTGAATAATACTTTGATAAATTGTGACCTAAATAAATATTGTGACTTATAGATTTTGTGATTTGTGACCAATGAACAAATTGTGACTTTTAAAATTTTAAGTTGTGATCAATAAACAAATTGTGACCTCTGAAAATTTTGAATTGTGATCTAAAAATTTTCGTCGAAGTTGGAACATTTGTCGGAATCGGAGCAGTCTCCGGAACGGTAGTCAGAGATGAGTTGTGATCGGAACGGTAGTCGAAATAGTACTCGTAGCGGTAAGGGTGATGGTGGGGTGGGGTATTTATATTATATTTGAATTAAATATTTAATAATAAATTGATTTAATAATTCATTAATTCATAAATAAAAAAATAAAAAAACCTGATTTGTGAAATTTGAAACTTGTTTTTGTATTTTTGAAAATGTGTAAAGTAAACACCTTAAAAATGCATTGTCCCTACTAAATATTTGTGTGTGTGTGTGTAAGTTTTATTGCGGGCCAAAGTCCAATTCTAAAGTCAATCCTATTCCTTATGCAGAGGCCCAATTGTCCCCAACTTCCCTTGGCGTGCACTTGGTTTACTAGTGACTTGTGAGACGATGGCTTCTCTCGACAGCGACGTGACTATGGTTCCAGCCGGCGATGGCTCCTCCGGTGCCGGGCCATCCTCCATCAATCCGACACCTGGGACAACGTCATCCAGTAAGAAATCCAAGCGATTTGAGATCAAGAAGTGGAACGCCGTTTCCCTCTGGGCTTGGGGTATGAACTCTTATCCTAACTTCGAGCTTTTATTTTGTTTGTTATTATTCTTGTGTATGTATGCGTGTAAATATGTATACAAATTTGTGTTGGTATGATTTTTGTATTCGGATTTTAGGATTACGAAAACCCTAACGCATATTATAACTCGTGATACAGATATTGTGGTGGATAACTGTGCGATATGCAGAAACCATATTATGGATCTCTGTGAGTTTTGATCTTCGTTTTCCTTTTCTCGATCTCTATTTTTTGGGATAATTTAAATTTTTTTAATCTCTGATGGTGTAAATAGGTATAGAATGTCAGGCTAATCAAGCTAGTGCCACAAGCGAGGAGTGTACTGTTGCTTGGGGTATGTGGCTTCTCCTAAACCCTATTGTTTAGAATTATCTTTTTATGAGTCTTATTACGTTAACCTGTTGTGTTATGCCTATTGATTTTTACTGTGATTGGATTTGATAGTGTTCGAGTTGAGTATAGCATCCTAGACTCTGTAAGGACTGTAAGTTTATCTATATATGGAGGTTGTAATATAAGACACGGTGCGTCTTCTTTGCAATTTTGGGATAGTCAGAAGTCAAAAACCACTTGTGGAATTAATTTATGCAGTTAGTATTGGATAATTGTTTTTTCTTCGCATTTCGTTATATAGTTGTGAGGTTGTCATCTATCTTGAATACCAATTTTAGATTTTGGTCTTTTAGTTTTAAACTACTTTTTTTTTTTTTTTATGATGATGGTGATATATATTCAATACAAATCTTGTGATGGAAATTGATATTATTTCTGCTAGGAATTTTGGGTTAAACTCAGTCAACTAAGTTAATTATTGCTTGTTAGTTTGCGAGTCCATTTTTGTTATTTTATATTTCCAATGTATTGAATTATATGTCAACATATATTAACCTGACTTTTGAAATGTGATTGCCTCATCTAGAGTGACGAAAAGATGGTGATAAGTGAGTGAAAAATGGTATGAGGTTAATTTCACACCAGGCGACAAATAATTTTACCAGTTTTGTGCTCCTTTTCAGTTGTCAGTGACCCAGTAGAGACGCTTGTCTTTCTTTACACATTCTTTTAACTGATCCCCAATTTAAGTAAAAAACCCTTGGTATTTGTTCTTGATTTGGACCAAAGTGATGCTTACCGAACACCCTTTTACATGTATTATTGGGACCCCCTATCTAACAAATTTTCCTTCCTTTCATGATTAATTTTGGATCAATTTGTATATCAGTATACTTGATTATTTTCCTTATTCGTCGTGGGGTGGTTTGTTGGGATATTTCTTCTATAGCCTTTGTACAATGTGCCTTTTAGTGTTGTATTGGGAACCATTATATCACGAAGCTAATGTTTACCTAAATCAAGTAAACAAATATGGGATTTACGGATTTATATTTTGGTTTTACCAACGTAGGAACGTAAAAATTTGACCGAACAATTGAAGATGAAAATGAACAAGAAAGAGAGAAAAGATCCAAGAAGAGAAGAACTTAATACGAGAATAATTTTATTTCATATTTTCAAGGGTACTTATTATAATGAATAAGGCTTCCTTATATAGGGCAAATAAGCTAAAATCAAAAGAAGTTCTAACAAATTAGAATTTTATCAAAATATTAAAACTAATCTAATCTGAACAAACATATTTTGAATAAAATTTCAATTTAAAATCTGATTTAAAGTCTTGTCTCCATCTCCGTCATTTCTTTTTCAGTTGAGAGATTTCGACTCCGGTAAGATAGACCGAAACTTCATAATATAAGAAAGTCGATGTTTTGTCTTGATCAAGCGTCGATAATGAACTCTTGACAGCAACAAGCCCATGTTTGAGCTCCATCATCTAAAAACTCATTTTTCTCAAAATTCATTTCGACCCAACATTCTTTCAATAAAATATTTTGCACATAAATGCACAATTTTTTTTTACTTTTTAACCACTCCAAAAAAAAAAAAAAAAATTCATTATTACAAAATCCATTTTAACATAAAAATGGGTTTCAAACAATCTCATAATCAAATAACGAAACCATTCATATGATACTAATTGATCATGTAAATTATTTTAAGAATATGATTTGACCAAGGGGATAGTCCCTAATTAATAATATATACAATTAGAGTTTTAAATATTAATTAACAATTAGACTGTTGAAAATATGAAATATTATTTAATCTTTTTTAACACGTGAAACTGTGTTAATAATTGATAAATATTTTTTTATTATTGAAAATGTAATGTAACTAGTATTAAATAATTGGAGTACGTACTCTTTTGTGCACTTTATAAGTACGGATAAAATAACTCCAAGCATTCTAGGTCTAGGAAACATGATGATGCCATCAGGGGGGCCCGTTATGCCAAAAGCGAGAGAAACCCCATCCCTTTCCAACGAACTAAATAATTGATTTTCATTTATAGAAATCTACGTCTTTTATCATGAAAATTAAATTTCTATTCAAAAGGAGATCCAAAATGTGGTACATTGTCGGAAACTCATTTGATTTTCTTGAAGGTGTTTGACTGCTCAAGGTTGCAATTTGTCATTAGATTGGCTAGTGTTGGAGTGTTATTTTTAGTTATAACGAAGAAGTTGATGTTCGTGATGTTGAAGATGATGAAGTTGGAATAATTAAAGATTAAAATAAAATGTTTTAGTACTTTATTTTATTTTTATTATTATGTTACTGTTTTAATTTATGAATGAAATTATGTTGAATTTTATAACACGTATCTGTATATCCTAATTTTTTTTTAAAAAGTCGTATCAGCGTACCCGTATCTTATTCGAATTACGTATCCGTATGCATGTTTCTTACTTCAAAAAAAGTACCTGTCTGCCACTCGTGTCCAGTATTTGATTGTTGTTTGTAGCCTAGGGTACGACCCACTACAAATGTCCGTCCTTGCGAAAAATGTTTCTATGAAACTTCTCTTCGTGCATTAATAATAATTTCGCTAGACATAATATGCATTACCCAAATATTATTAGGTTTTGGTGTAAAATGGACTGATTGTGCACTCTCTGCATGACCAAAAATGATATGTTAGAAAGAAGTTTATAACCTTTGTCCTATGAAATGATTAGTGGCAGAGGGTGCGTGTGTACTTGATGTTTGCATTATATATTTCTCTTGAGATGGATGTGATTTGTAAATAGTACAATCTTTCCTAATCATGTTCAAAATCCATAGAAAATTTAATGTACAACTTAAAGAATGTGAATGAATATCGGCTCCTACTTGTATTTAAATCTTGACACGGATTAGTTCTTGGCTGGTCTATCTTTTATCCTATTACTTTGCTAATTGGTCTTAAGTTGTCTTTAGTTTGGGGATGGATTTTCATTCTTGCTTTGACTATTTTCTTGTACTTAATCTGACATTAAAATAATCTTTACAGTGGGTGTAGAGATTGAAATGCTTAGGTATACTTGTTAAACTAGATCCCTAGCTTGGTGTCTGAAGTTAGCTCTCTTCTTTATTGCTTTGTTAAAATTGAATCCTTGTATGAACACTCTTTCTGACGGGCAATGATGTGTTGATACAGTATTCCTTTTAACTAGATAATTGAGCCTTTTTTTGGAAGACAGCTCTCTCTTAGTTATCCTTATTGAAGTTTTTCAGCAATGACTTGTGCACTTTTGACCATGATTTACAATATATTAGTACATTTTGTGAAGGATATCGGCCCTGATGGTAAATGTTGACTATACAAATTCAGAGTGATAATTTTGTAATAGATATTCTATTGCATATGCTTCATTTGTTTAATGTGATAAAGTATTCGAACTGTTGTAGGCGTTTGCAACCACGCATTCCATTTCCACTGCATTAGCCGATGGCTCAAGACTCGTCAAGTTTGCCCTTTGGGTAAGTTTTCCGTGTTACATTTTCTTTGATTCTGCATGCATTTTAAAATGGTCACCCTTCTTTATTACCATTTTACAGATAACAGCGAGTGGGAGTTTCAGAAGTATGGTCACTAGTATCATTTTGGGATCGCTATATGACCTTATTGCTAAGGCTACTCATAAAAACTCTCTCTGTTGGTGTTCTTTTGGTTTATATCTTTTACGAAATAATGGGAATCTAGAATCCTTGGAACGTAGTGATTGTATATTTCAAGATTCAGAATTCTTAATCCTTTCAAGTGTGATGTTTACTGTTGTGGGAGGTATTAGTTATTCTAATGGTTCGAATGAAAGCAAGATTTTAAGATAAATGCACTTTATTGAGGTGGTCTGATTTTGTATGGACGTTTCGGCTGGTACTACAGACTATTGAAACGCTTTGTTTGTTTGAATCTTGGATTAAAATGCGAGGGAAAAGCTCTTCCTGTATTTTTTGAGGAAAAAAAAAAGGTTTAAGTATAAAAATATATTTTTTGATTTTCAACATTTTAAACTTTTGGTTTATGAATTGGTTCCTGAAGTGATTCTCGTCTTACAGATTGGAAAATTGATTGTGCAGTATTTTGAACGTGTCCCCCAAATTATTTGAATTTAAATTTGAGTTCTATTTTAGCATGATATTTTTGTAATCTTGAGAAAAATTAGAATTGAATGATTCCTTTCCATCCGTTGCTTTAAGATTTTTCATATAAAAATAATAAATTTTTTTTTGGAGCAAAAAGATAAAAATAATAAAAACGATTCAAAACACATAATTATTTTATATTTTGTTCAGTCGTCAATTAATTAGTGTTGTTTCCTAGCTTTATGAATGCATTTTTTCTTTTTTTCCTGGAAATGTGTGCCTCTCTCTCTCTCTCTCTCTCTCTCTCTCTCTCTCTCTCTCTCAGATTGATGCATGTCATCGATATTCAATTTAAAATGAGATAAAAAC